TACAGCGACAGTTCCGACTGACCCAACCCGAACTGGACGAACTGAGGAAGCAGCTGGATTACCTGCTCGAGAAAGAGTTCATTCGTCCGAGCTCGTCACCCAACGCAGCAACGATGATGTTGATACTGGAAAAAGACGGGGGGTTTCACATGTGCATAGACTACCAAGCACTGAACAGGGTTACCATCAAATCCCGTTACCCCATCCCACGCGCCAACGAACTGATTGACCAACTGCGAACAGCCCGGGTTTTCTCGAAAATCAACCTTCGAGGGGGCTACCACCAGAACCGTGTCAACCCACCCGACTGCCCGACAACAGCCTTCCGAACACGCTACGGATCCTTCGAATACACAGTCATGCCCTTCGGACTGACCAACGCCCCCGCCACTTTCCAAATGACAATGAACGAGGCATTCCGCCCGCTTTTAGATAAGTGCGTCATCGTGTACCTCAACGACATACTGATTTACAGCCTAGACAGAGCACAGCACTTACAAGACATCGAAGCAGTTTTTAAATTACTGAGTGAGAACCGCCTACTGACAAAAGCGTCTAAGTGTGAGTTTTTACAGGACCGACTGGAATTTTTGGGACACATCGTTTCAGTTGCAGGAGTGGAAATAGACCCGAAGAAGATCGCGATGACTCAAGCATGGCACGCGCCGACCAACTTGACCGAGCTGTAGGGTTTTTTGGGGTTCGTCAACTATGTGCGACGGTTCGTCCCCGACATGGCGAAGTTGACGGCTCCGTTGACCGACCTGCTGAGAAAGGGGGTTGAGTACACGTGGGGGGGAAAGAGCAAGCTGCCTTCTCGGCCCTCAAAACAATTTTATGCTCGCCGCCCGTGCTTCACATCGCAGATCCGCACCATCCGTCGAGCTCGTCACCAACGCTAGCGACATCGCTGTGGGAGCAGTACTGTTGCAGGACTTCGGGAACGGCCTCCAGCGAATCGCGTGCGAGTCTCGCAAGCTTCACCCGCCCGAATGCAACTACTCGATACACGACCGCGAGATGCTGGCGATCGTGCACGCGTTCAAAGTGTGGCGATGTTACCTCACGGGAGCAGACGTGACAGTATGGACAGACCACCGATCACAACAGTACCTTCGCGCCCAACTGAATCTCAATCCACGACAGATCCGCTGGTTGGACTATCTGGAGTCCAATTTCCACTACACGGTCACGTACAAAAAAGGCGCATCGAATATTGCCAACGCACTCACACGCCCCACCGCCCAACTCCACGCCATCCTACTCGCCCAAACAAACCCGCTGCTAACAGGCCTATTCACCCACAGATACAGTACCGACCCATTTTTTACGACCGGAAATTCACAGCAAATGGCAGAAGCTAAAGGAGTCTATTACGTAAAAACAGGCACCAACCGCATCTGGGTACCCGCGTACTCACTACTGAGGGAACTATTACTGCAGGAGGCACATGACGGATTTACCTCAGGACATTTGGGGGTAGAAAAAATGCGTCAGCAACTGCAGCGGTATTACTATTGGTCGGAGCTGTTGACCGACGTACACCACCACGTGGGCTCGTGTCCTACGTGCCAGGTGATGAAGAGCTCGCGGAAAAGAAAGGCGGGTCAATTGCAGCCGATTCCACCGCTTGAGCGCGCCTGGCAGCAGGTTACCATGCATTTCGTCACGGGGTTACCTTCGAACCTTGGGGGTAACGACGTAGTTGTGGTCGTCGTTGACAGGTTGACGAAGATGGCACACTTAGCTGCGTGCAAGAAATCGATCTCAGCCGAAGAAACCACTCGCCTGTTCATCGCAGCCGTCGTTCGACTGCACGGGATACCAGCCGCGAGAATCAGCGACCGCGACACGAAGTTCACCAGCAACTTCTGGAAGAACCTTTGGGAGCAGTTCGGGACCAGGCTACAGTTCAGCTCATCGTACCACCCCGAGACCGACGGTCAAACGGAGCGAACGAATCAGACAATGGAGCAGTTGATTCGTGCCACGTGCGACGACCCGACAACCTGGAGCAGCAGCTGCCGCTAATCGAGTTCGCGTAGAACAACGCCACGTCAGCGACGACGTAGCAGTCTCCGTTCTACCTGAACTACGGGCAAAACCCTATAATACCGATGACGCCGAGTCCTGACAACCCAACGCCACGTGCACAACAATTTCCCGAGATTCTACGAGCTGCTCACACCAGAGCCGCCGAAGCAATTAAAAAAACAAATATTATCACGTCAGCGACGACGCAGCAGTCCCCGTTCTACCTAGTGCCCATGACGCCGAGTCTGGACAACCCAACGCCACGTGCACAACAATTTCCCGAGATTCTACAAGCTGCCCGCACCAGAGCCGCCGAAGCAATTAAAAAAACAAATATCATCGCTAAGCGTAACGCTGACCGCCACCGTCGCCCAGTCACGTACTATTCGGGAGATTACGTACTACTCGACACACAGAACTTAAGACCGCCCGTCATACCAAAATTACTACCGCACTACTGTGGACCCTTCCAAATCGGACACATGATCACCCCAGTTACCGCCCATTTACTGTTGCCGACAGACTGGTATATCAACCCATCATTCCACGTCAGCCTGCTTCGCCCATATATCCCAACCACGAGCCAACTGCCTCGTCACCGCCCGCTATCCATGACCCGCCCTGCATCGGAGCCGATCATCAAGCCCGAAAAAATCATGAGCCATCGGATTCGACACCCTACGGGAATCAGGAGGATTGAATTCCTCGTTCGCTGGAAGGACCGCACGCCAACTGAGGATAGCTGGGTGCTCCTGGCCAACATCGAAAACCACCCTGCCCTGCAATTGTACCTGAGGAGCCGGGGTTTCCGCGATATACACGCACTAGCGTAACGGAGGGGGCTTCTTGAGGGGGGGTAGTGTAAGGAATTTTCTCGACATTCCTTAGCGCATCCTGCAACATCGCGTACAGCAGCAGCCGTTGTTCGCCCGTTACTGCGAACGGGGCTTCGCCGACTTCGCGCGCACTGTTTAACCAAACCATGCACCGCTGGCCCGGCCGTATCGGCCTACACTTCAAGACTAGCTCGAACGTCGATGCCTGCCTAGCACTAGCTAGCTCGCACGCACAGTTACCGTTTGCATGTTTCGCGTATAAATGTTCGCTCATGCCTTCGCTCACATTTTGTACTCGTTTGACCTTTTGTGCGATCCTTGCAACCTCGATTCATTGCACCCGTAAGGGCGGGTTCAACTTTGCACACTCCCAATTTTTTCGTTATTTTGACGTCAACACACTTGTCAAATTTGACTGTACCCCAGGGCGTAGTACTAAGGTATCCTGTCCAGTTCGGAGAGAACAGTGCGGACTTTTGACGAGGTACATGATCGTTGCGAGGCACATCACCCGGAAAGGGAGTTACCAAATATTGCGAGGGTTTCCGCATCTAAGGCGAAAGTGATGATAAAATCATGGCGAAAGGGTGTTGGCGAAAAGGGGGCGTTACTGTTTGACGACTTTGACGGGAAGCGATTTGGGAGACGAACCTTCGGATGTGTTCCGCACGTCCCGGGGAAGTTTCCGAAATGAGCTCATTTATGTACAGTCTCGCGTCAAACTGATTTCGTACGTAAAAAGTTCTGTTACATGCATAATTCTGGTAACTGAGCTGAAAATTTTCCGTACATGTACAAAGTTTGACCCGCCCGTAACAGTTGGGTATTCAAGCGAATTGTTTGACTCGCCTCCAGATCATCCAAATAGATCAGGCAGAGAGAGAGGACTGCAGCCCATCTAGTCTCCTAATGGCAGTTTGCTAATCCACCAATCGTCTCCATTCCGACTGCTCTGTCACGGTCGCGTACCATGTTGCGCATCTCTCAAAAGTTTTAATATCCAAGTTATTTTTCACCTGCACTGTGCGCGCTAGTTTCGTGCAAGGGACGCGACGCGCAGTCGCAATGATAGGCCCGCAAACCACGACTGCAGAGAGGACCGGCCGATCGAATTTCAATCCGATGGCTGAGAAAACGCACGGAGGTCCGGCTGGTCGATCCCTGACCGTCGATGCGATCCAGCGCGACCGCTTGATGAAGATCGCAGCCGTAAACTGGCTAAAATCCGAGAGCTCGCTTCCGCACTCACGCGTAGTCGCGACTGACAAATATGGAGACGGCATTCCCAGGAAAGCACCGAAGCCTGCTACCGCAATCCGGTTCAATCCCGATCTGGTTCGGAGAATCTATCGGGAGGATCTGAAAGTGACACGTGGCAGGAAACCGGTGCCATTGCAGCGCGTGATGGTTCTGGAAGTGAGCCAGTATCTGGAAAAATACCTATGGCCGAATTTCGACCCAGATACCGCGTCCGTGGAGCACGTGATGTCTATTATTCTCATGGTCAATGAAAAGGTGCGGAAATTTTGTTCCATGATTTGTTTGTTTCGTCAGTTATCTTATCCATCTGTTATTATTGTTGACTTCTCCAGTTGATGCAGTTCCTGTTTAATTGCAGAGTACAACGACAAATTTGATAATTGCCTCATGCGTTGGTGGTGATATTGGTCAAGTCGTTGCTGCTATCGCTTGTGCATGTCAAATCTTGGCCCTAATTCCTGCCGATGAACCTCAACGTCCCTGACCTAAAATCTGATTTTGATTTGAAGTCCTTAATCTTAGCCTTGGTTTCCTGTTAACATACATCCACGGTCCACGCACCCATCCCATTCCAAATTCTTGTGTGGGTTTTGTCCCTTCTTCCATTTGTGCCTTTATTCTACATTCTTGTTCCCTGTTAGTTCCGCGAGAATGTCTCCGCATGGGACTGCTTCCATTCTCGCACTGACATCTTCCCTGCATTCTTCAATCGAGTCCTTGCTCTCAAGGTAAATCCCAGCAATGCTGCCATCATTTCCCCTCCTAAAGCCCACGTTGTTCAGTATTTTCTGATCGTTATGTGTCCTTCTGCATGTATTGTTCTCCCCCCACGCGCTTTCTCGTGTGGAATGGAACCTCTGCTTACCGCACATGATCATTCATCATCGTATCTCCGTCGGTCGGTACCCGTTTTCTTCTTCCCAGGACCCCAAGCGGAAGGTGGGGAGCAAGCGAGCTCGGCAGGAGGAGCAGGCGGAGGAGCAGGCGGAGGAGCAGGCGGAGGAGCAGGAGCAGAAGCAGCAGGAAGAGAAGCAGCAGGGAGAGCACGAGCAGGAGGAGCAGGCGGAGGAGCAGCAGATGTCTGTTGAGGGAGATCAAGTTCAGGCTGAGGATGGAGCAAACAAAGAAGCTGCTGCGGAGGGCAACGGAGCAGAGGGAGAGGGAGGAGAACCGAAGGAGAGTTCAGGCGCAGCAGAAGGGGAGGGAGGCGGAGGGGAAGGAGGGGGAGGGGGTGCTGAAGACAAGAAGGAGGTGAAGGAACAGGGAAAGGGCGGATCGGCTGTTGGCGGAGGAGAGGAGTACGAGCTGAGCATATATGAGCGCGTGAATTACATCGTCTTCATCATCCACTGTTTCCAGGTGAGGAGCTATTTAGCTTGTTGATAGGAAGTTAGGGAAGGTTAGGGGAGGCGAGGAGGAGTACGAGCCGAGCATATATGATATGAGCGCGTGAATTACATCGTCTTCATCATCCACTGCTTCCAGGTGAGGCTCTCCTGCCTTTGTGAAGGTAGCCTCTAGCTTGCTGCGGTTGGGAGCGTTGTCAAACACATCCCCTCCTGCACTGCATCGCTGTCGTCATCCACTTCTTCCCCCACCCCTCCGCGCTCCCCTTCCCCCTCTTCCCCCCTACCCCCCCAGTCGCTGGAGAATCCATTGGTGCGGGCGTGTGTGCTGCCGCTGGTGTCGCTGCCCCTGTGGCATGCGCTCTCACCGGCCCGCAGGGAGCGCGAGCTGCTTTTTTCCACGGTTCTTAATACCCTTCTCTATCCTCATCTCCCTCCCCCCATGCCTCTTCTCTCCCCCCCACGCCTTTCCTCTCCACCCCCGCCCCCCATTCCCCCAGTCGCTGGAGAACCCACTGGTGCGGGCGTGTGTGCTGCCGCTGGTCTCTCTCCCCCTGTGGCACGCGCTATCACCGGCCCGCAGGGAGCGCGAGCTGCACCCCCACGCGCACCTGCTCGCCCTCTGGTCGCGCCTGCTCAAACGGGACGCCAAGAACCGCCACGCCAGGCTGGCTGCTGTGGCGGAGGGTGGGGAGAAGCGGGCCGAGGCGGAGGCGGCTGAGCGGAAGGAGAGGCGCGGGGTTCGATTCCTGCCTGGGTTGATTCTGGAGTTCTTTTCTGTAAGTGATAGGCTCTTTCGGAGCGGTTGCAGGCCAACTCTGTGCTAGGATATGCTATCTGCGTGCATCCCTCTTTGTGGTACGACTCGAAGGAAATGGAGTTGTATGTAAATGTTTGCTGGTGGCATGTTTCATTTGACGATATGCCATCTCCATCTCTACGAGGGCCCGGACTACGAGGACGACCAGAGCGAGTCTGCTGGGGTGCTGCTGGAGAGAGGGTGTTTAGGGGAACTAATTCTCTTTGTCTTTCCGTCTCTATCTTCTGTGTGTGCTGCTGTGCTGCTGTGTGCCCCCCTGTGTGCCTCAACGCCTGCCAGGTGTTGGACGAGGTGGTGGAGAAGGGCCCAGACTACGAAGACGACCAGAGCGAGGGGTGCTGCTAGAGAGGGCAGTGGACCACCCGCGGCTTCTCTTTTGCGAGCGCTTCCTGGAGCTGCTCATAGACCTGCTCAGCCAGCTGCCCACACGCAGGTATGTACGGGTTTGTGCATGCATGCATGTACCTATCGGTGCATGTGTGTTTGCATGTGTGACTGCTTTGTAAACCCCCCTTCAACCACCCGCGGCTGCTCTTCTGCGAGCGATTCCTGGAGCTGCTCATAGACCTGCTCAGCCAGCTGCCCACACGCAGGTACGAATGCGTGTGCGTGTATCTATCAGTGCATCCTCCCTAACCATTCTTCCGTTTCACTCTTGACCCCACTGTCACGTTCCCGTTGCCCTTCAATGATCAGGTTCTTTCGTCCTGTAGTGGATGACATGGCCGTCGCCGCCCGGTGCCGCCTGAGCCGGCTGTACCGGCACCCGCGTGGCCGTCTTTTTGTGCAGCTGGTGGATCTGCTGCGATTCTACGCTAGATTCCAAATGGACGACCACGCCGGGCGGCAACTGGATGAGGAGGAGGTGGACAGGGAGCACTGCGCTCGTGTGTCGGCCCTTCAGCTGTTCCTCTTTAACAAAGTGCCAGAGGTGAGGGCCACATGTAACATTTACTTACACAGCTGCTCAGATGCAACGGAGTGCTGGAGATGAGGGTTGCATGAGACACATAATGGCACATCAGGACGAGGAGGAGGTGGATAGGGAGCACTGCGCTTGGGTGTCGGCCCTTCAGTTGTTCCTCTTCAACAGAGTGCCAGAGGTGGGTGTTGTGAGATTGTTGGCGATGGGCGGTATTATCTGCACCTACCTACACAACTGGATGGCTGCGCTTGTGTGTCAGCCTTTCAACTCAACTGTTCCTCTGTAACAAAGTGCAAGAGGTGAGGGTTAATTGAAAGACCTGGTTACACCGACTGGATGAGGAGGAGGTGGGACAGGGAGCACTGCGCTCGAGTGTCGGCCCTTCAGTTGTTCCTCTTCAACAAATTGCCAGAGGTGAGAACTATTAGACTGTCAGCGGTGAGTGAGTGGTGTCGGGTGCACATAGTTATGCTATCCAAGTGGACGAGGAGGAAGTGGATAGGGAGCACTGCGCTCGTGTGCCAGCCCTTCTACTGTTCCTCTGTAACAAAGTGCCAGAGGTGGGTGGTGGTAGCGTGGTCATAGCATCCGTGCTGTTCATTCCTGGCTGTTTTGGCTCCTTGCCTTATAAGTCGACTCAAAAGTCACGTGGTCATAGCATCCGTGCTGTTCATTCCTGGTTGTTTTGGCTCGCCTTATAAGTCGACTCAAAAGTCACGTGGTCATAGCATCCGTGCTGTTCATTCCTGGTTGTTTTGGCTCCTTGCCTTATAAGTCGACTCAAAAGTCACGTGGTCATAGCATCCGTGCTGTTCATTCCTGTTTGTTTTGGCTCCTTGCTTTATAAGTCGACTCAAAAGTCACGTGGTCATAGCATCCGTGCTGTTCATTCCTCCTGGTTATGTTTTTTGAGAATTCTTAAGAAACAAAGTGCCAGAGGTGGGTGGTGGTAGCGTATCTATAGCATCCCTGCTGTTCATTCCTGGTTGTTTTGGCTCCTCGCCTTTCATCGCATCTCCCCCGCCCCTCCTCACACTCCCCCCTTAGCTACGTGACGTCGCCCTGACCAACGTGGGAAGTGTGGAGCATGCTGACGACGTGCGCAAGTGGCTTACTCTGTTTTGAATCCTGTTCCCGTCTCCCCTTCCCCCTCCGCCCCCTGTGCCCCCCCCCCCCCCCACATCTCCTCCCTCAGCTACGTGACGTCGCCCTGACCAACGTGGGGAGTGTGGAGCATGCTGACGGAGTGCGCAAGTGGATGGGGCGACTCACAGACGAGCAGCTGGCGGAGCTGGTGCTCAACAAGGTAACGAGCGGTTAACATTAGGGTGGTGACCCTAAACCCATGGGTGGAGTGCGGTGCCGATGGTGAAGTAGGGAGTTGCTGCAAAAAGAGTAGGCTTTTGGCTAGCTCAGTAGACACTCATTTGCAAGTGGATGGGGCGACTCACAGACGAGCAGCTGGCGGAGCTGGTGCTTAACAAGGTAAGGACAAACAGAGCCAACCCAGATATGGCATATTGAGTTTAGATTTCTGTATCTCCAACTGTTTTAGGACAAGCCTGCCATATTGAGTAATAATGTCTGGGTAAACAGTGCCCTCGCGCGCGTGCATGCGCGTGTGCGTTTTGTTTCGCACAAGCATGCGTGCGTGTGTGCTCTTTGTTTTCTGTTTGCGCTTGTTTGTTTTTCTATGTTGGGCTGCTATATCATATCATCTCAAACATTCTCCCTTCGTGCTCCAGTACCCTTGATGTATGTTCTGAGAAATTTAAATTCTATTTCCCTGTTGCCCGTTCTACCACCGTGCAGCTGAAGCTGCTGTCTCGAGCAGGCCTGCCATACTGGCCCAATACCAACCTCCCCCCCCCCCCTTCCACCCTTTCCCCTCCCCGCCCTTCTCCCCCTTTCTACCACCGTGCAGCTGAAGCTGCTGTCTCGAGCGGGCCTGCCGTACCGGCCGCCACGCCACCTCCTCTCCTCCACTCGCCGCCCCAAAGCTCCCACACGAATGGTGGTGGAAGAGGGTTCAGAGGAGCAGCAGCAGGAGCAGCAGGAGGAGGAGGAGGAGGCAGAGCAGCAGTACTGGGAGCAGCAGCGGGCCGTGCTCTTCCACCGTCTCCGCCCGTTCCTAGAGGAAGTAGTCGTCTCCTTCTTCGAGAAGAAGCGCTCCCAGCGAGCAGCACTCAACGCACTGCCTCTCTAACCCAACGAGGACGTCATGTGGGACGAGAGCCTCATCCCCAGCGTGAACTACACCGGAGAAGGCTGCTTGGCACTGCCGAAACTTAATTTGCAGTTCCTCACGTTGCACGATTACCTGCTGCGGAATTTCAACCTGTTTCGGCTCGAGTCGACGTACGAGATTCGGGAGGAGGTGCACGATGTGCTAAAGCGGATGGGGGCGAAGGGGAGCATGTACAGCAGCGTGGACCGGGATACGGAGTTCACCGGGTGGGCCCGAATGGCCATTCAGATCTCGTCGTTCCGGATTGTAGAAGTTAAGGCGCCGCTGCTAGGCGAGGTGCAGCCGGCGGCGGTTCTAGCGGAAGTGGAGTACTCTATAGGGGGGTATAAGGCGGCGATGCGGAGCGAGTGGGAGGAGATTAAAGAGCATGACGTGCTGTTCCTGCTTGGGATACACCCGGATGAGATTGCGTTGCAAGCTGCGGCCGATGCTGCTGCGGCACAGGCGGCGGCGCAGGCGAAGCGAGAGGCGGGAGAGGATGGGGCGGAGGAGGAGGAAGCAGCGGCGGATGCTGCTGCGGTGGTCTCGTCGCTGTCCGTCCCGCAGAGATACGGGTTAAGATATGTGCGGGGGTGCGAGGTGATAGAGTTGCGCGATGAGGACAACAAGCTGATGAATGACTTCTCTGGAAGGGTGAAGCGGGAGGAGTGGAAACCACCCAAAGGGAACAAGCGCACAGCTCTCGTCGCCCTCGATCCCGCCCAGTTCCAGCTGGATTTAGAGGCCAATGGAGGGACACTGAGAGGAGCGCAGGAGGAGGTTTACTCGGCTTTAAACGTGGTGATGCGGAGGAAGCCAAAGGAGAATAACTTCAAGCCGATTCTGGAGTCGATCCGGGATCTGATGAACGAGGAGGCGTCGGTGCCAGGCTGGCTGCATGACTTGTTTTTGGGGTACGATGATCCGGCAGCCGCCAGCTGGCGGCGCATGCCTGCTGAGCTGGCGCCGTGGCGCGTGGAGGTGGTGGATTTCAGAGACACGTTTGTGGATGCGGAGCATTTGAAGGAGTGCTTCCCGGGCTTTAAGGTGCGGTTTGTGGATGCGGATGGGTTTGAGAACCCTGACCCTCAGCCTCCGTTCCGCGTGACTATACCCATGCCGAAGGCGCAGGAGGAGGGGCGTGGGGTGGCAATGGGGGGGAAGAAGAAGGGGCAGGAGAAAGAGGGGAAGGGGAAGGGGAAGGGGAAGAAGGGGGCGAAGGGGAAGAAGAAGGGGAAGGGGAAGGGAGGGGAGGAGGAGAAGGGTGGGGAGAAGGAGAAGCAGGAGGGGGAGCAGATGGAGGTGGATGGGGAAAAGGTCAAGGAAGGAGATGGTGGAGACGAGGCACCACAGCAGGGAGAGCAGGGAGACAAGGGGGAGCAGGGAGGGCAGGAGGAGGGTGAGGGGGTGGTGATTGCGGAGTCGGTGCCTCTGCCTGACCCCGGGCCGTACCCCCCTGGGAAGCGGAGGAAGAACCACGTGCGCTTCACACCCACCCAGGTACCGAACTCTCATCCTTTCTCTGCCTTCGCTCCCTTGCTCTATCTCACCTCACCTCGTCTCACCGCCTCTCTCTCCTCTTTCCACCGTCTCCTACCTCTTTGCAGCGCCTAGCACCTCTCCCCACCGCCTCTCTATGCCCTGTCTCTCACCTCTTCTGACCGCCTCTCACTCCTCCCCAGCACATCTCTCGCCACCCCTTGTAACCTCTCCTCACTGTGGCTTACCTCTCCGCGTGTCACCTCTCCTCACCGCGT